CCCCCCCACCCCCCCACTCCTCAGACATTCCAGCAGCCAAGAGCTAATCAAAAATCACTAATGTCCTGAGTCTTACAGATTTTGGCAGATTGATATAATCAGTTTCGAGAAAAGTGTAACCCAATCTATCGGTCTCTTTTGCAAGGCTCCTCGAGTATGTCTTGAAGCCTCGGTCAGACATGCAATCTTGGGCGCTGCTTCGGTGACTTTCTTAAGGTGCAATTTTTTTTTTCTTCTTCTTTTTTTCTTTTTTCTTTCGTCATCTTCTTCTATATCTTTCTTTTTCTTCTTCTTCTTCTTCTCCTTCTCTGTTTTTGTCTCACTGTCTCTGTCTCTCTGTCTCTGTCTGTCTGTCTGTCTGTCTCTCTCTCTCTCTCTCTCTCTCTCTCTCTCTCTCTCTCTCTCTCTCTCTCTCTCTCTCTCTCTCTCTCTCTCTCTCTCTCTCTCTCTCTTCCCTTGTTTTTCCTTTTATTCCGTTATTCCGATTTTCTCACTGTTTCTCCTTCTCTCTTTTACCCTACTTATTTCTCTTCTCTCTCTCTTTCTCTCTTCCTCTTTTTCTTGGCTGGCATCAAATGCACCTTTTTCTTTCTTTGTTTCTCCTTTCTTCTCTCCTCCTCCTCTTCCCTTCTTCCTACATTCTCTCTATCTTCATTCCCTCTTTCTCTTTCTGCTTTTCTCGTTTTCTTCCTTTGCTCTCTCCTTCTCTCCTCCTCTCCTCTTTTACCTGTACTTTCTCACTTCCCCATTAACGTGTTCCTTCTTTTAATCTTCCTCCTCGTTTTGCCTCTCCTCCCCTCTTTCCTTTCTCTTACTTCTCCTCTCCTCTCTCCATCCATCCTCTCTCCTCTCTCCTTTCTCCTCTTTCCTCTCTCCTTTCTCCTCTCTCACTGCATATGCTCTGTCTTAACCCCTTTCATCTTCGTCTTTATTATTTTCCGTTTGACCCTAATTCCAGCTTTATCCTTTGTGCTTCATTCCCCTTTTTCTGATTACGGGTGATCTCTCTCTCTCCCTCTCTTTCCCTCTCTCACACTATCTTTTCTCTCTCTCTCTCTCTCTCTCTCTCTCTCTCTCTCTCTCTCTCTCTCTCTCTCTCTCTCTCTCTCTCTCTCTCTCTCTCTCTCTTTCTCTCTCTCTCTCACTCTCTTTTCTCTCTCTCTCTCTCTCTCTCTCTCTCTTCTCTCTCTCTCTCTTTCTCACTCTCTTCTCTCTCTCTCTCTCTCTCTCTCTCTCTCTCTCTCTCTCTCTCTCTCTCTCTCTCTCTCTCTCTCTCTCTCTCTCTCTCTCTCTCTCTCTCTCTCTCTCTCTCTCTCTCTCTCTCTCTCTCTCTCTCTTTCTCTCTCTCTCTCTCTCTCTCTCTCTCTCTCTCTCTCTCTCTCTCTGTCCTCTCTCTCTCTCACTCTCTTTTTCTGTCCTCTCTCTCTCTCTCTTCTCTCTCTCTCTCTCTCTCTCTCTCTCTCTCTCTTCTCTCTCTCTCTCTCTCTCTCTCTCTCTCTCTCTCTCTCTCTCTCTCTCTCTCTCTCTCTCTCTCTCTCTCTCTCTCTCTCTCTCTCTCTCTCTCTCTCTCTCTCTCTCTCTCTCTCTCTCTCTCTCTCTCTCTTCTCTCTCTCTTTCTCTCTCTCTCTCTCTCTCTCTCTTTCTCTCTCTCTCTCTCTCTCTCTCTCTCTCTCTCTCTCTCTCTCTCTCTCTCTCTCTCTCTCTCTCTCTCTCTCTCTCTCTCTCTCTCTCTCTCTCTCTCTCTCTCTCTCTCTCTCTCTCTCTCTCTCTCTCTCTGTCCTCTCTCTCTCTCTCACTCTCTTTTTCTGTCATCTCTCTCTCTCTCTCTCTCTCTCTCTCTCTCTCTCTCTCTCTCTCTCTCTCTCTCTCTCTCTCTCTCTCTCTCTCTCTCTGTCCTCTCTCTCTCTCTCACTCTCTCTTTCTGTCATCTCTCTCTCTCTCTCTCTCTCTCTCTCTCTCTCTCTCTCTCTCTCTCTCTCTCTCTCTCTCTCTCTCTCTCTCTCTCTCTCTCTCTCTCTCTCTCTCTCTCTCTCTCTCTCTCTCTTTAAGACGTTGGGTATCTTTCTTCTCTCTTCTCTCTGTTTATCAATATATCTGCGTCTTTTTACCTATTTATCCTTCCTCCCTCTTTCCTTTACGTTCCTTCTTCGTCTTTCTTTCCCTCTTTGCTCTCTCCCCCTTTTCTTTCTCTTTATTTCCTTCTTTCCTCCTTCCCTCTTTCCCTTATTTTCCCCTCTTTCCATCACCTCCTCACTCTTCACCTCTTCTCTCTCTCTCTTCCCTTTTTTCCATTCTCTCTCATCCCATCATTCCTCCATTATCCTTCCTCCCTCCTTTCCCTTTCTGTTCTTCTCTTGCCTCTTTTATCCACTTATCTTTCCATTCCCTTCTCTTCTGTCCTTATTTTTTCCATCCTCTCTTTTCCTTTTCTCTCCTACATCATCATCATCTTCCTTTTCTCTCTCTACTCGTCTACGTAGCCTTATCTTATTTTTTTCACTCCTTTTCTTTCATTCTTGTCTCCTTCTCTTCCTATTCCTCTTTCTTACTCTTCCTACTCTTCCCTTCCCTTCCCCCCTATCCCTACTCTAATACCTCTCCCTATCCTTTCTAACTATCACCATCTTTCACTTCCTTCCTATCCCTATCTTTCTATCCATCCCTCTCCCTATTTTCTCTTTTATTATCCTCTTCTTCACTCCTTTCTATCCTATTCTTGCACTTCCTCATTTACTCCCTCATTCTCCTTTTTCTCTCATCCCTCTACTATCCCTTATCCCACCTTATAATCCTTCGTCCTCTTTACCTTCCCCTACCCCCCTCCTTATCCTGTACCTCCCCCCCCCTCCTCCTCCTTCTCCCTATTCCTCACGCTTTTACTATCCTTCATCATCCATCTTCCTTTCCCTCGTTCATTTACTATCCCTTATCCTCGTCTTTTTTTTTACTATCCTTTATTCCTTGTTGTTCGTTATCCATACTATACCCCCCTCCCTCTCCCTTTACCCATCTCCTCCCCCCCTCCGTCCCTTTCTACTATCCTCTTCTATCCTCTCCTTCGTCTTTCCCCTCTTTCTTTTCCCCTCCTATTCCCTTTACTCTTTTTTTTTATCATCCATTATCAATCCTTTTCTATCCCTCATTCTTTCATTATCTCTCATCCCTTTACTACCCTCCCCATCTCTATTCCCCATTTCTCCGCCCCCCCCCCTCCTCCTCTGTCTGCCCCTTTAACCCATTCCTCCCCCTTCCCCTTTTTCCCCCTCTTCCCCATATCTCCCCCTCCCCCTCTTTCCCCATCTTCCCCATTTTTCTTCCCTATTCCTCCACCCCCTCCCCTCCCTTCAACCCCCTCTTCCCCTTCCCCCCCTTCGCCTACCCTCCCTTTAACCCTTCTTCCCCCCCTCCCCCCCTTCCCTACCCTCCCCTACCCCCCCTTCCCTACCCTCCCCTACCCTC